CGGTTTCGGGTTTTGAGGACAGGCATCCCATTTTATTTCTTACACTTATTTTTGACAGGTTTGGGTTTGGGTTTGGGTTTAGGTTTAGGTTCTGGCTTGGGTTCCGGACAGCATTCACCCTTCTTCATGTATCTGTAGTTCTTTACGCTGGAGCTGTTGAAGTCGACCCTTGCATCTGCACCAAAGGTTAGACTTCCCTTCCCCACCTTGACACCAACGGTTGCTTCCTTACTTTTCTTCTGATCTCTGACGATTTTTTCCTTCTTCTTTTCACTACTCATTTTTATTTAACCGGAAAATAAAATGCCATTCAACATGATTATTGTAGGTATGACGGCCTGTGGGAAGACGCATTACCTCATCCGGGAATTAAGGACGACATTCTTCCATCAATTTGAAAATATATTTCTAATCTGTCCTACCTATCACTGGAATAAAACCTATGATCAGGATTTCATTCATGAGGACGATAATTTCTTTGTTATCCCCTGCAGGCAGGATGACGTGGAGGACTACCTTAAATTTATAGTGGACTTCACCAAGGGAAGGGAATCTCTCATCATTCTGGACGACTGTGCCAGCACTAAGTCCGTGAAGGATCGGACGAGAGAGTTGGTTGACCTTGGCTTTAGCGCACGTCACATGAGTATTTCAACCATTGTTATTACCCAACAGCTGACCTCCATTGCTAAGCCGTACAGACAGAATATTTCGAAACTGGTGACGTTCTATAATCCGAATAGGCAGGACATGAAGATTATTCTGGATGAATACCTTCTTGTTGACAATGTGGAAATGAGATCTATTAGGGAAAAGTTGAAGGAGAATAAGTATGCTCATCTCGAAGTGGACCTGGTACATCCATTCAACCATGAAGTAAAAGTTCCTGTATTATAATAAAGAGAATGGAACAAGAACCACCAAACGCAGAGAATACGGAGATAGAGGACAGTAGGGCAGAGCTTATTCGCCTGTCCAATGCGGGAGAGATTAAGCAGTCCGAGAGTTACCTGAAGAAGGCATCCGGGAAGGTTATCATGAAAGTACGGAGGGAATACATTACCGCACAGAGGGAAAAGGCAAATGTGGTGTTGACGGAGACTTTAATTGAAAAATTTTCGGATCTCATGGAAGCTATCAGTATGGTGGATAGTGGGAATGAATTGAGGGAGGAATTAAATCAGGATAAACTGTTTAAGAGTGATGTTAAAAGTGTAGTGGCAAAGCTGTCCCCATACATACCCTACCTGGGTATTGTTAGCGGTGGAGTAACGACGGTAAAGCATGTCTATCGTAGGACCCCCGAACAAACACTTTCTGAGGAAGGAGCGGAGGCCGACGATCAGAAATAAATATTTTCAGACCCTGTTGGGTATGAAAAAACTATAGTTTCTAAATAATTTAATATATTATTCCAGCAAGTTGTCCGTTTGTGATCTTGATAACACCGTCGGAAAGGACGAACAGGTAACATATAACGTTTGCGGTTGTGGCTTTCTTTGTGATTTCCACTAATATTCCGGATTGAGTGTTCTGTATTTTAGCACCGTTTCCGTATGTGTTAGCATCGCTTGCGGTTCTTAGGTCGATGACTAGTGCGAATTTCTTGTCTTTGAAGAATCCGGTTAGTGTCTGATGACTGGTTTCGTCGGTACCGAACAGTCGCCTTGCCTCCTCGTATAACCTTGTTTTGGGGATACCCTGACTATAGACTGCGTTGGGAACACCTTCTACGGTTACCCTGACCTTTTCGATGTTGGGGTAGATGTATTCCTCGCTGTCTGTCTTTGTCTTGTTTGTAAATAGCATAACGATGGCTTTCATACTCCTGCGTGGTACGTTAATCGTTTCGTTGATGATGGTGGAATCTTTGCTCCATTCCGTCTTCTTCATTAGGGTAGCGTGTTCGAAGGATAACTCGCGTTCTGATCCATACAGTCCCTCGGCTTTCCTTGCGAGATCGATGTTATCGATGGACTCGTATTCCAGTTCGATGTTCTCCAGGGTGTATCCTTCCACAGATTCCCCACCTTGTGCGCTCATGATTTCGGTCGCTGCAGGTAGGGTGATCACGTATTGTAGGTCGTTTGCCATGTTGTGTGGAGCATAAAGTCCGTGATCTTTGAGGATCTTGTTGATCCGGATTTTCTGTTTTGTTCCGAATACACCGAACAATGCGGTAGCCTCTGCATCATCGTTTGCGGCGTCGTCCTTGGATATTTTCTTCCTCGTGGCTTCGCTGGCGATACCATCCTCTACCATATCGTCACGCTGCTTGTTGTGTAACCATAGGTCTTTGTAGACTTCCAGCAAGCTTTCTCCGCTGTTGTCGTAGACCTTTTCTCCTGCGAGTCGGATTTCCAGTCTTTTCTGGAGAAGTTTTCCCAGGTTGTTCCTAAACCAGGATTTTGTATTACTGTTCTTAAAGTTGAAAACTAAAGCCATACTATCCGGTACGAGAACGGAGTCGGCTTTTAGCTTTGGGATGTTGACGTAGATTTCTTCTCCGGGTTTGGCAGAATTGGGATTGAAGGTTAGGACATGTCTGGTCCTATCCCCGGTAAATTCCGTCCTATTCATGCGTCGGAAGCTGGGCATAAGTTCGGTTGTTCGGTCCATTATGTTTTATTATAGTATAACTTTATTTCTTTCGTTTCATCTGTAGGTACTTGTATATGGCTCCGGCAATTAGGACTGCTACGATCCATAGGTTCTGGCCAAGGATGGCGAGACCCTTAGCTCCCCAGCTTAGGATAGTACTCAGTAAATTTAGGATTGGTAGTGCGGATTTTGCAAGTCCAGCCAGTGCTTTTCCTACAGCTCCTAATCCTTTGGAGGCTCCTACGATGGTTTTCTTTCCTGCCACTACGACTGTAGTGATAATTCCGGCGATAGAAATGGCAATGGCGGCTATTGCGCCTAGGTTTTCCTTTGCCCATTTGCGGAATCTTTCGAATTTTGTCCTGATATTTTCTTTTACCATTTCCCTATACCTGTGCTTTCCCTCCTCCGATTCGGGCTGCTGGCCCATTTCTAGGTTGGCGTTATCTATACCCTGTTCGGCAACATCCCTACCCTCTTGCATAATCTGCTGTCTTTCGGGATCTGTTTCGAGTTCTATGTTGGTTTCGAATACTTTCTTCTGTTCCCTTAAGGCTTTAATCCTAACTTCGGGTGGTCCTTTGGGAGCGGTTACTCCCGCGAATTCCCTTCTCTCCTGTGTGGTCATTTTTCCCCTTTCCTCTAATTCCCTTGCATGTTCTACAAGGGTGTCGCCCGTGTCGGTGACTTCCTGACGGAATTCCTCCTCAGCGTCTTCGAAAATCTCTTCCACGTTTGCAACTGATGCCTCTCCTCCGGTTTCCTCTTCGACTACACTTTTAGCTCTTTTCTTGTGTTCGGTAAGTGCTTTTTCGTATAAATTAAGAAATCTTCTTGATGATGTGGTAGCCTTCTTATTCTCAGACATTTTGTAGGTACCACCCGTATCAATGTATGCGACATCAGCCCCGTTAAATGTCAACTTGTTTTTAGTGATGTCTAAACTGGATATAAATTCCTTAGAGTTTCGTCCGTCGGTCGGATCTATTCGATACTCAGTTCGGAAAAGCCTCCTGACGTATTCTATCTTTATGTCATCAAATTTTCCATATGTGCTCAGTTCGTCTAACTGTTTCTTCCTTTTCCTGTAGGAATCGTTCTTATTCTCCTCACGGAAACTGGAGGTTTTTACATCGTCTAGTCTTTGATCGTCGTCTAGTCCTGAAAGGAAATCATCCTCGTCAATAGGTGTATCATCAATAACTGTTTCGTCCTCACCCCCTTCAGCCCCTTCCGGTCGGTTGAGATCATTCATCTCTATGGTGTCCATCTTTATTTAAGTCTAAGGATAATTCCTGTTCGTAATACCTTCCCAAAATATCCTCCCCATCCTCCGGATCCTTAAGGCTGTACATATTGGGATCTCCCCGGAACACCGCTGTAACGACGTATACTTCGTTGTCAAAATTGGGTTCGTATCCCTTTTCGAAGGTCTTGTGCTTTATTTCCACCCTAACGTGATCCCCAACCTTAAATTTAGGATCCGGAAAACTGCTTAGTGGATATCCATAGATTCTCGTCCAAACTTCGTCCTTATTTTCCTCATTCACATCTGCCTGTTTCATTCCTATTGTTCTGTGTGTCGAATTATTGTCCACCCAAACTTTCGTCCTGTTTTCCGTAAAGTATTTCCACATCCTTGTTTTTAGGGTCCTATTAAATCGTTCGACGATTGCGGCTTTCCGGAAGGACCATGTGGAAAAGTAGTGAACATCGTGATCTTTTAGCAACGTCTTTACTCCTACATTGTAAAATTCCTTTCCGTCGTCAAACTGTGCCGTTTTGGGATACCTACTGAATCTTTCCTTAAATTGTACGAGCACACTTTCGACAGCCTTCGTCATGCTTTCGGTATTTTTCCTCCATACCGGAACGACAAAAGCATACCGGCTTAGGACCTCTATGACAGTTAGGATCCATCGGTTTCCCTTATTCCCATGGCTAAATTTATTCATATCCACAAGGTCCATTTGAATTTTCTGTGCAAGGCCATCCACATAGGTTCTCTGGGTTTTGTAGTGTTTTCGGGACGGTTTGTGGATAATATAGGTATTTTGTGTCTGTAACCATTCCTTAACATTTTTCCGGCTTACTCCCTTTATACCCTCCTCCTTTGCACTCTGGTATAACTTTTCCATCGACATGTACCCACCGTTAACGTTAAAATATATTTCTCGGAGAGCTACATCTAGTTGTAAGTCCATTTTATTATCCATAAATAAAACATGAAGAAGATAACGGTCTATGTTGAAGACGGAGGGGTTACCCTGGATTTACAGGATCCACTGATCCTTACCCATGGATCAGAACTTTACGTAAAGACTGCTGTCGTGTTTTGGAATTATAAGAATATTCGCAAGGGGTTCAATGACTACATTTCCGTAGATGGGAAGAAGGTAATGATAGATGAAGGGTATTGGACCTTTAAACAGCTTAGGAAAGAGTTGGAGGAAAACGGGTTGACATTTAGGGAATATCCCAATGGAAGGATAAGGATCGACTTCGCTAAGGAAACAAATTCCGCAGGACTCCGGAATCTCACGAGTATTCTGGGTTACCGGTCCTCCAATGGTCCTACATACATTCCACACATCAGCGATCGTCCCGTAGACATCCACGAAGGCTTGCGTTACTTAACAGTCAGCTGTAACCTTGTGAATCGCGAGCATAACATCGAACCGTACGGAAATAGGAGTACCGTTCTCACTTCCCTTCCCATCGATGGAACAAGACCTCTCTTTGGAACCACAACCAAATACAACGACATCGAAAGCCAAGTACGGGTGGATGCTGGCAAATACAGTGAAATTCGGTTTGAGATTGGATCTAATACCGGAATCATCCCTGGAGATGTATTGTTTGAACTTTACATCAAATAAAAGGATGAGTGAGGAAATCTTTCGGAACTACTACGGAAAGAATTACGAGAAGGTTAAGGCAGCAGCACCCGTTGAAATACGAAAAATGAAGACAGACTTCATGAAAAAATATCCCAATGCGACCCTATCCAAGTTCGACTTTAATGTTACCTTTGCCAAGATGGAACCGTCAAGTCCAGAGACATCTTCTATAAAGTGGATGACCTCACAAGCTATGATATTACGTCCGACACATTTCGCAAGGATCCGGAGTGGACCAAATACCTTCACTGGGTGGAGGGGTGGCGTAGTGTTCGACCGGATGCAATCTTTCGTCCGAATAAGGATTTCAAGATGGATGTGCATACCTTTAAGGTCTATGTTACGGAAACCGAAAATTTCCTGGCGAAACTGGAACCTATTAAACCATCGTACGATAAACCCCCCGAAGCCTTTATCAACACCATACCCTTCGATTACCATTCCAATTCCTACTTCTGTTCCCTGGCGGCATGCTATGTTGCTATGTTTAAATCCGGAATTTCCGAGGATCATCTTACAGACTTCCAACTTACACTCCAACATAGTAACCTCCATTGTTCGCTTCCACCTTCACTTTCACCTATCGAGATTCATGCGTAACCCCAATCTATTAGACCAGTACCTTACAAGTGATGATAAGAGAACCATCAGAAAGTATACACCAGTACGTGAAACATGGGTTAGGAGGACCGTTTCTTCCCACGCAAACCTTGGAACATGGTATTACGGCTTACCTGTGAGTGAACAGAAAAGAATACGACGTCAAAAATATCACCAGACCAAATATGGAGGCACATTTATCGAATACGAATACCTGACTGGTCGATCACCCTTTGACGTTGAAAATGATTATAAAATCCTCGTTCCTAAAACATCCCGAGGACTTACCAAAGTTGGACAGAAATTATTCCAGCAGTCTGTCGAGGCGTTTGTGTATTCCGTATTGGGAGCACAAGCCAAAACCCGATGGAGTATCACGGGTCAGGGTGCAAAAAGTTTGCAGACACAAGAGGTTTTCCGGAAGGTAGCAAGGGACACGGTTGTTCAAGACGACGTAACAGTTACCATTTCCGACATGAGGACGGCTATCGCCAATACCCACGTTGTCCTAAATTTTGCAATCATGACGGGTTTAATCCTAATCCCCTCTGACCGAAGAATTTTAGCAAAACCTATCCCGGGATTTAGCAATGTCCTAACGGTAGCTAAAAACGGAATGACGTTCGGGAAGAATGAGAAGGTAAATTATACGAGTACTTCTGTTCCTACCCCCACGGACGATGTTGACGAAAGCCACAACATTATACCGGTTCCTGCTGTGGAGGACTTTAAACCCCGGAACTAAGGCAGAAGTCTGATACCCAAAATATGGCTCTTGGGATGGCGGCAGTAGCATCCTTTGGACTTACATACCTAGTATTTCGACGTTAAATAAAATGAGCATCCTACTTGGGTACGATTACTTTGATACAACAGCAGAGGACCTAGATATCTTGAAACGGAAATTAGCAGTAGTCGGAAAGGGACAGCAGGGAAACACGGCAGAAGTTACCAAAAATACGGACGAGATTGTAAAATTAAATAGCCTCGGGAAAAATTATGTGCAGTACGATTTTACACAAACACCTGGGTATCCACCCAGATTTCTTCAAACTTCTAATATTTCCGATGCGGATAAAGGGAACGCAAAATTCATCAGGTTTAATGTTAGTGACGGAAGTAACACGGCAGCATCCTCCACCCTGTACGGGTTTTACGTGGGAAGTGCAGGAACCGTCGTCATGTTTACGCGTGATCAGAGCAGTAGGATTATACAGGTCTCGTTTACATTTTTCGTTACTGGCGATACAACAAATTCTATGGTACAAATTTTTGGTCTAGAATCCAAGGATGTAGACTCTTCCGGAAATGTAACCAACAGAACAGGAACTACAACCATAAGCTGCTTCCTCATGACAACATAAAGTTTTAAATCCAAATGGTAGGATTTAAAATATTCGTGTTAATCCGTAAGCACCTCCAACACCCAGTTAGTTATCTAGATGATTTTGAAAATATTATTGGAAAGCTAGTTATCTAGATGATTTTGAAAATATTATTGGAAAGCTGGACTCAGAAAATCAAGAGATGTGTATATTAGGTGACATTAACATAGATCTTATGCATGAACCGATCTCGGCCAATGCTGTAAAACTGAATTCCATACTAGATATTTATGGTATGGATCAGCTAATAAACGAACCTGCAAGAATTACTAATTGTTCTCAAACCTTGATTGATCTATGTTTCACAAATGTACCATCAGAAATAATAAAATTCGGCGTTAACCACATATCTATTAGCGATCATTCACTTGTGTTTATGACTTATAAAACTAATATAGAACGTACCGGGACGCGCACAATAAAAACTTGTTATTTAAAGAATTTCAATAGAGATAATTTTCTTAGAGACTTGGAACAAAAGCGGTGGTGTGATGTTAACACAAATACTGATCCTAATGATATGTGGGACACGTGGAAAAGTTTATTAATGGAGTGCATTGACAAGCACGCACCATCTCGCTCCAAAAGAGCAGGCAAAAAAAAATCGCCGTGAATAACAAGCCAATTGTTACGACATATACATAAACGAGATTATCTGAAGCGGAAAGCAACATTGGCCGATGATCAAACTTTATGGGAAGAATATAGGGTTGCTCGAAATCGTACCAATAATGAAATTAGAAAAGCAAAGCAAGAGTATTTTATAACGAATTTGGAAACTGCTAAAACAAATCCAAGAAAAACATGGAAATTAATTAACGAACTAAGCTCGCGTAATTGTAATAAGTCAAGTAACATTAACGAGATTAAAGTAGACGGAAAAACAATAAATACACCTGCAAATATAGCTGAAGCTTTTAACAATCACTTTTCAAATATTGGTGAGAATCTAGCCTCAGAGATACCCATTTCTAACGTCAACCCTGAAGACTATTTAGAATCAACTGAGCAGAGATTTTCCATTAGACCTCCTACGGTTGATATGGTTTATATTCTGTTGAGTAAAATTAACGAACGAAAAGCTCCAGGTCTCGACAACATTCCTAATAAGCTGTTAAAAATAGCAGCTGCAATAATCTCACCATCATTAACTGATATATTTGCCAGATCAATTAGCACTGGCATATTTCCATCCGAGTGGAAAATGGCTAGAGTAACACCAATATTTAAGAAAGGAAAAAGGAATGATCCGAATAACTATCGACCAATATCAGTTATTTCAGCTGTAGCCAAAATCTTCGAAAAATTAATCGTTGAGCAACTTTATAATTACTTCAGTTCTAACAGCTTGTTAACGCATTGCCAGTCCGGTTTCAGGTCGTTACATAGTACACTTACTGCTCTTCTTGAATCCACTAGTAACTGGTCAGTTAATATTGACAACGGCCTCTTCAATGGAGTAATATTTATCGACCTTAAAAAAGCATTCGATACTATTGATCATCAGATATTGCTGCGGAAGCTTCGAATTTACGGTATGGATCAATTAAGTCTCGAATGGTTTCAGTCTTATTTGACCAGTGCAGCAGTACCGAGAATGTTTGCTGATGATACGAACATT